AAAAGTAGCGGTAGCTTCAGGATTGATCAAGTGAATTGAATGAAAGAAAGACCGCCCATCGTACCCATGTTTTTTTTACCCAGACTTTTGCTGCTTTAGATACATATACTAGGTGGCTAAACCCCGCGCGTGACGCGGGCTGCCCCTATTAGTAATATTAAATTTTATTTTTTTATATATATGTGTATAAATTATTATTAGTTGGTGTGGTTGTTTATTATAAATTCTATGTACTTTAATGAAAATGTTGTCGATTTTGGTGTTATTTTGTGTTGAATTTTTATTATTTTGGGTAATTATTATTTAGTTTGTGAGCTTGGTACACAGTAAATTAACCTAATATAGCTTTTTCAAAAGTACTAACCTAATAGATAGCTATAGTTTAGAATTGCGATAACTTACTCAAAAGTACTGGCCTAATAGAGCTTTTTAATAAAACTATTTATTAACTGCTTAAGTGTTTTTAAATATTTTATTTGAAGATATAGTTTAATAAGTAATTAACGTATTGAATAATATGTAATTTTAAAAATTTTTGAAAGTGTTTATCTCTTTATTTGATTCATAATATAGGATAAAATGATTAAATTGGATGTTTTATTTTTTAAATCACAAGAGCTATTCTAAAAGTATCAAATTTGAACTTTTATTAAAAGTGCTTTTAACATAAAAAACTCTACTTCTAATTTTAACTCCAAACGGACCTGAAGTATAGCGTATACTTGTTGAAATAGATTTTTTTTATTAAATCCTTTTTTTCTGTATTGCGTATTTGGTAGAAATATTTAACCGTAAAATGTCTTTTTGTTTGGGCTTTTTTTGTAGCCGGTCATTTACATGTGGGTTAGAAACAATTATGGCCATATTTGCATTCATTTTGGTAATTGGAATTTTTTGGCTATACCTCTTTTCACTTGCAACACCCAAAAAAATGCAAGATATGAAAAAAGAAGTGCATGGTTTCGCACTTGGAGAAACACAGCAAGTACAATAGCAAACAGAGTAGCATTGACAATTACAAAGTATCATGAAATTTCCCTCAAAAGGAAAGGCAAAGGTAGAATACAGGCCAAAACAAATAAAGAGAAAATAAATCCATGTAACACTTACTATTCATGCTTCCATAATTCTATCGTAGGCAAAGGATATGGTTGCGTTATGACTTTGCACCGCCCAAAACAATTCAAAGCAAATTAGGAGTTCCGCAATATCAACCCATACCCAGATAACCTCGTCCAATCCTAATTGTCAAAGTTTCTTATCCTCGTTTTGCTTCCACTCAACACCAGAATGATTGTCTGGCTTCCTATTAGCTATAAACAAAAAGACAAAAAAAAGATGAATTCATGTAAAAAATAATTTTTTTTTTTAAAAAAAAAAGAGAAACCAGATTAGCGCTTCTTTAGATTTCCTTCAAATTTTACCTGCTCATTACAGAAATGCAATTAGAGGAAATCTGAAAAAGCTGAATCCTAGAACAACAAAAGGATAGCATAAAACTAAGCCGAAGAAATCGTGCAAAAATAGTTCAAACCAGATCAATTCACGGCCGAAATGCTGAAAGGATAAGAGGGAAAAGAAAAAACTCATTACTTGACACTATGTGAGCACTTAATATCAATAAAGAAAAACAGAACAAAGAAAACGACAGATTGATGGAAACATGGTTTAAAAAAAAAAAATTTGTGCTTACTGCTATTTTCTTGAAATTTTATCATCGGAGTTGCAAAAAAGTTGGCCAGCATACTTGAAGTCTCGCAATCTTAAACGATGGTACCTTTGCTTCTTCCCCCGGAGAATTCGAAGAGAAAGTGCAAAAAATCTGCTTGGAATTGGAATCTGTGGAACGAGCAAGAGACTGAGAGAGTAGAGAAGAAAGAGTTGCCCAGTGGAAAAAATTTGTTTGTGGTCTGCCGCCGCCACCACAAACAAAACACCCACGTTTCACAAGAAGTAGCCTCTAATTCTTGTTTATGCATTTTTTCATAACTTGACTCCATGTAGACTATAGTTCCAGTTTCCCTTCTCGCGTGCCAAAAATTTGCATGCGCTGCTCAAAGTTTCCAGCGTATGCTTTACTGGCTCCTGGTAAAAAATTGCCAGGAATCTTGAATGCTGCTTGTATGCTAAAATAAACTATAGCAAGTCGTTATCTTTTCTTCTTTTCTCAATTTTTTGTTTTTTGGGTTTCTTCTTCCTTATGGGTTGCCCAATGGAATTGTGCACTGTTTTGGTTTAACGGATGGAACTTCACTCTGTTGTTTTGGAAAAGAAAAGAGGAAGCTACTCTGTGGTTGAAGTTTTAAAAGAATATATGAAAATCAGAATTTTACTTGGAAGCTTTGTTATCCGTTAAGTTTTGGTCTTTATTGGTCTTGGAATAAATTAGTTGGACTTAAATGTTGTTGATATTTTGAAATAGGACTTGCCAGTAATGTCCCTGCAATGAATTGGCTCTTTGCACCATAATGGATGAAGAATCTACACTTAGCCTCAAACACTTCTAAGAGTTGAGTTGAGACAGCTTGTCATTACCCTCTTATTCTTTTAATGTTTTTCTTTTGAGCAGAATGCTGGACATACTTGAAAAGTTCCTTATACGCAAAGGCTGTTGCTTTTCAAGGCTTGGTGGATCTACTCCGACTGGAGTACGCCAGTCTCTCGTTGATGACTTCAACTGAAGTCCAAGCAAACAGGTTAGTTTTGACATTTAGAGTCAGTTTTGATACTGTGAGACTTAAGTTTCTAATTTTACATCTTAATTGCAGGTCTTCCTCGTATCAGCTCGAGCTGGTGGGCTTGGACTTAATCTTGTTAGTGCAAATCGTGTTGTGATCTTTGACCCAAATTGGAATCCTGCCCAGGATTTGCAGGCACAAGACAGGTCATTCCGTTATGGGCAGAAGCGGGGTGTCATTGTTTTCCGTCTTCTTGAAGCTGGTTCTCTAGAGGAACTTGTTTACGCCAGGCAGGTTTACAAGCAACAACTAGCAAATATTGCTGTTTCTGGGAAAATGGAGAAGCGTTACTTTGATGGTGTGCAGGTACTGTTGCTGATTTTCTGATTCTGTGCACAGTTGTCTTCTTATATTCCACTTTTCAGGATTGCAGAGAATTTCAAGGAGAGCTGTTTGGTATCTGCAGTTTGTTCCGCGACCTGTCTGATAAGCTTTTCACCAGTGAAATAATTGAATTGCATGAAAAGCAAGGAATAGAGCATGGAGATTGTGAGAGTTCAAAGCAGATGTTTACTGAATCCACAGAAGGAATTAACTAATACGTCTGTGGAAGCATCTCATCTCAGAACAGCAAACCTAAATATGCAAGTAAAGAAACGGTCGAACCAGTGCTTGAAGACTTGGGTGAGTGTATTATTTGTCGACTTGGCTTTGAAAAGTTGAAGTACCTCTACTGATGCCATGCCCTCTTATGTTCCAGTAATATTCTTTTCCTTTAGTTTTTTCGTTAGCAAAAGGTTTGTCAAAGTATCTATTAGAACGTAATAGGCTGGGACTAGTTTGTGACAGTGTTAACTTATGCTGTAATATTCTGTTCAGGTATTGTATACGCTCGCCGAAATGAAGATATTGTTAATTACGGACCCGGGATTCAAGGAGATAAAGAACTGAATACGAATTTAAAGGACACTGTGCAACATTCACTTCTTGTTGTTGCCAGGAGGAGGAGATCAGAAGCAGTAGCAGGTGGCAAAAATACTATAGAAAATGCTGCTTCATCCAAGATGAGGAAAAAGAGCCAGTATAGCCTCCTTGCTCAGTTCATGGGTATGGAGGACATAGAAGTCAGCAAGTGGTTACTTTCAGCGAATCCAGAAGAACGGGAGAAAGTGCTCCGGGACTACAAGAGGACAAAGGATAAGATTCCAAATGGCTGATATCTCTCCTCATCAGGAAGGCAGAGTTTTTGTAATGCAAATTGTAACGCTTTGCGGATAGATTTCTCTCTGTCTCCGTCTCTCTGGCAGTCTTTTCAGGCCAAATTGACTGTGGCCATATTCTGGCCTCATCGTAACGTGGTGTAAGCGTCAATCTGTCTGTAGTTAGCAAATATGTTGTTTGTCCATAGATCTTTCCGAAAATATGGAAGTCGGTTGCTGTAATTTCTTCATTTGGGACTTTAGCCGTGAGTCGCTGTATGCATTTGTTTACTGACGTCTGGGTTAATTCTCTTGATCCGTTAATCTTCTGAAAGAATTTATATTCTTGCTCCTTTTGATTCTCTTATCAAGCTGATTTATTTCCATCAATTCAGTAGCTGGGAATAATTTGATTCCCAGGCCCTCCGCATTCGGGGGCGGTTATGAACGTGTGCTGGTGGAGACCACGATTTGGATGTATGACTAGGTACTTGAAGATATTGCATTATCTTGTCTGGCACACGTATTGACCATTACGAGTATCTAGAGGTTGAAATTTCACAATTGGGCAAAACTTTACATCCCTTTTCTTTAATTTTTCACACCCTTTGTCTGAGAATCTCACTCATCCCTTCTTTAAGTTCCAAGCACCGTTCGACAAATAAGTTTTTGATCAAATTTATTTACTATAAATTTTTTTAGCAACTTTATATCTTGTTTGACAAGTGAGTTTTGTAGGTTTTTGTCTAAAATTTTACTATAATTTACTGTAAAAATTGTAGAAATTTTTTTTAAAATGTATAAATTTTTGTAGCTTATCATTCTAATAATTGTTATCATAAGTACCATTTTTGCTTTAATAATGGCAATTCTTTCACCGGAGACTATGGGATCAATGGAAGATACATGCTGCTACATTGCTTTGCTCAAGAAACAAACAAAGCTTTTTTTTTCTTTTCTTTTTTATGTTTTTAACACTTCTCTCCAGCGTTGGGCAATGAATTATGAGAACATTAGGGTAATGTAATGTAATATAAGTTTTGTCACATGTGCAAAGATGATTGAAAATACATTACAAGTGGAGTAACTTTACCCAAATACAAAAAGTTGCCACGAAAGCAAAAAGTTGGTTTGGTCCTACGTCAACTAACGTCTATAGATTCAATTATTTCAATGGTACCCACAAACCGTGTGGTCCTGAGTTGGTCGTCGGACATCATCTCTCGTCTTTGCTTGGAGCAGTACTTTTTTAGTTTTCCAACTTGGTAGGAAATTTCGTTTTGGAAAAAGTGAAATGAAAGATAAGTAATGGATTCAGTACTTTGCAACTCAAGCTGTTGAATGTCGCTCATCTCTGCCTGCAAAAAATAGTCCAACTATTCAACCAAAGCATTTTACCTTCATCTGTTAAAGAGTTTCCCTTGAAGATGGCTGAAGCTGCACTCAGTTGTGTTAGTGTGATCTTGAATAAGATACTTCCACTTGCTGCCAACGAGATCAGTCGGGCATGGGGTGTAAAGAAAGACCTTCAGAAGCTCTCCAAGAAAGTAGAGATGATGGAAGCTTTGATTTCTGATGCTAAATGCAAGCAATCAACAAGCAAAGCCGTGCAGCTGTGGCTCAAAAGGCTCCAGTCCATAGCACGTGATGCTGAGATCGTGTTGGATGACTTTGGATATGAAGTTCTGCGGCACAAGGTTGAGAAACGGAAGCGCGACAAGGTACGCAACTTCTTTTCTTCCTCAAATCCTATTTCCTTTCGTCTAGAGATGGCTAACAAGATCAAGAATGTTAGCGCATCTCTAGAGGAAGCTTACAGGGAAGCAAATAAGATAGGGCTTCATCCAGTTCAGCTAACCATGGCATCTGCTGATCACAAAGAGGATCGGTTGACTGTTCCTTTTGTGGACGAGTCAGAAATGGTGGGACGGGAAGTTGAGGTATCTCGAGTTGTAAGCATGCTAATTAGCTCAGACTATAAGAAGGATTTACCTGTCATCTCAATAGTTGGGATGGGTGGCCAGGGTAAAACAACCCTGGCACAGATGGTGCTAAAAAATGACAGTGTAGCAAAGCATTTTGATAAAAAAATATGGGTTTGTGTGTCTGACGATTTCAGAGTGGAAAGGCTGTTGAATGAGATGCTACAATCCCTCGAGGGAAAAAGTGCTGAGAAGACAAACAAGGAAACATTGGTGAGGAAGCTTCAAGAGAATTTGAAAGGAATAAGTTACTTGCTTGTGCTTGATGATAATTGGAATGAGAATCGAGAGAAATGGGATGGCATGAGGATATGTTTGTTGGCAATTGGGGGTGCTCCAGGAAGCAAAATATTGGCTACCACACGTAGCGATGAGGTAGCCTCAGCAATGCAAACATCTGGTTTGCATCATCTAGACATCCTCTCAGATGATCATAGCTGGATGTTGTTTGAAAAACTAGCTTTTGCAGACAGTGGTGCAACAAAGACTCAAGATTTGGTGGACATTGGCAGAAGGATACTGAAAAAGTGCGGCGGCGTGCCATTAGCGATCAAAGTGATTGGGGGTTTGTTGTATTCCAAAAAGGATGCCTCGGAATGGTTGACGATCGAGAAGAGTGAAATATGGAACAAGTCGACCAATATTGCAAATGGAGTCATTTCTGTCTTGAAACTGAGTTACGAGAACTTACCTTCATGGTCAGTGAAACAATGCTTTGCAAGTTGTTCCATCTTCCCGACGGACACTGACATGGAAAAAGAAAGCTTGATACAGATTTGGATGGCCCAGGGATTGATTAATGATGCCAAGGGAGGAGGAGGTCATATGCAAATGGAGGATATAGGCAGTGACTATTTCAACATATTGCTTCGGAGTTCTTTGTTGCAAGCTAGTTCTTGGAATTCCATTTACGGAATCAAGCGCTGCCGGATGCACGACCTTGTGCATGATCTTTCACTGCAAGTGTCAAATAATCGTTTCTTCGATACAGAGGATGGCATGGAAGTCAGTCATCATGATGAAGTTATGCATTTGACCATCATTGGGAGTCAAGGGAAGGTGTTAAAGAATATCGAAGGGATTCCTCTAAATTTGCAAACGCTTTATTATCGTGGGGGTGATGGTAGTACGCTCGAAGACATCTTGGAAAGGTCTAGATACCTTTGTGTGTTAAAAGTAGACTGCTGGGATGTTACTCATCTCCCGAATGCAGTAGGTAATATGAAACATTTAAGACATCTTGATATTCGTCTAACTGAAATCACCGCTCTACCAGATTCCGTCACAAAGCTCTACAATTTGATGACCTTGAAAGTGTATTACTTGACAGAGATACCTAAGAAGTTTAGCAATTTAGTTAACTTAAGGCATCTCGAGTTTTCCGAGCTTAGTTTGGATGGGTCCATATGTTTGTTCCCTGGAATCGGACAGCTGGCTAATCTTCGAACGTTGCCCTACTTCAGGGTAAGCCAAGACAAGGGATGTCAACTTGAGGAGTTGGAACACTTGCGCAACCTCGGAGGTGAGCTGAGAATAGTTGGACTTGAGAATGTGAGCGGCTTTGAATCAGCAGCAAAAGCAAAGTTGTCCAAAAAATCAAGCATTCGAGGTTTAAGACTTTCATGGGGCGATACAAATGAAGATTGTGATGACAACAATATCGACAGTGTCATGGAAGGTCTCCAACCTCACCCAGACTTGAAAAGTTTAGCCATTAATGGTTTCAAAGGTTCAAGGTTTCCGTCGTGGATGGTGGCAAAGGATCACTTGATGGTACTCCTTCGGAATCTGGTATACATCGAGTTGAGAGGATTGGGTAAGTATGAACAAGTACCACCACTAGGGGACTTGCCTTGTCTCGAGTCCTTATGGATGGAGTCCTTACACAATGTGAAGCGCATTGGGGCTGAATTCTATGGTCTCGATATTAATGCAAGGAGCAGCGCTTCTTGTAGCAGCAGTAGCAAAGAGGCGAAACCAATCACTCTGTTTCCTAAACTGTCGCGTTTTGTTTTGGAGAATATGGGAAGTCTGGAGGAGTGGTCAGATGCAATGGTTCCCTCGGATTCTTCTTCATCAATTAAGGTATTCCCTAATCTCCGGTACTTGAGAATCGAAGGGCTCCCCAAGTTGGCTGTTTTACCAGATATGGAGAACTTGACGTCTCTCAAGGAGTTACAGATACGGAGATGCGAAAGTTTGGCTTGTATAAGGAATTTGAATAGCCTTACATCTCTCGAATCCTTATATTTAGATGACTGCCCTGGTCTTTGAATCCTTATGCTTGGAGAGCTTGACATCTCTTGCGGAGTTAAGGATATCGGAATGCGGAAGTTTGGCTTGTATAAGGAATTTGAATAGCCTTACATCTCTCGAATCCTTATATTTAGATGACTGCCCTGCTCTTGAATCCTTATGCTTGGAGAGCTTGACATCTCTTGCAGAGTTAAGGATATCGGAATGCGGAAGTTTGGCTTGCCTAAGTAATTTGAATAGCCTTACATCTCTCGAATCCTTAATCTTAAGTGATTGCTCTGCTTTATTAGATGCTTCTCTAGATATGAAAAACCCCCAATCCCTGCGTACTCTAAGCATCTCAGGATGTGATAAGTTGAATCCTTCGTTGAGTAATAATCTTGAGAAGTTCACATCGCTCGAGCATTTGACGATCGTTTCTGATGACCCTGGTTGTTGGCCAATTATGGTTCTCCACCATCTGGCCAACCTCAGATCGTTGGGACTCGGTGGCTTCTCTGACGACCTTGATCATTTCCCGTGGCCACACTCCACCACCAATCTCGTCTCTCTGGAGCGTCTTGAATTGCGTGGATGGCCAAAAATCACGTCTCTCCCATACCAAATTCAGCATCTCTCTACCTTGAGGACGTTAGAGATAGGGGAGTTTGAGGGGTTGGAAGTACTTCCAGAGTGGATGGGTAGCCTTCGGAATCTTCGAGAATTGTGGATTGTTGATTGCTCTAACCTCAGACAATTGCCCTCTGCAGAAGCAACACGACACCTCACCAATTTAAATAAACTGTATATCGACACCTGTCCTCTTTTAGCAGAGAGATGCACCAAAGGAAGTGGCGCAGAGTGGCCCAAGATTGCACATATTCCCCAATTTTATATCTATCCTTAGGGAAACAAAGCCCCACCACTGTAAGTAGTTAGCACTTTTTTTTTTCTTATATATAATCCCCGGAAGGAAAAAGAAAATAAAAAACGCAACTGCTTCCCTAAATTGCCATATCAATAATGTCAAATCCTGACTCTTCCTTCAATTGCTCTTTACTTTTTCTTTTCCGTAGATTCTTTCCTCCTCCTCCTTATCATTCATTCTTTTTTTTTTAAAGGGTCAGAATCAAGGCATCGTCTTCGGCGTTGTGAACAGAAAATGCTCATCCGTCCGTCACGCAAAAAAAACAGAAGAGCAGTTTTCTCAAACTGCCTTATTATTGATACCAGGTGTCTGCTAATTGTCTCATTCATGAAAATTTACATCTTTTTTTTTTGGTGAATACTGCTATTGAATTGCTAGATTAGACATGCGCATGTATTTTAAAAGAAAAATTACAAATGATTGGGAACTGAATAAAAATTTTGTTTTCAAGTATAGGCATTTTTCCCTTGAGCCAAAGGTAGCAGCTTGGCCCCAGTGTTGCAACTGCATTTGATCCTAAACAGCTTATCTACTCGTCACTCATTCTCGACTCCAGGGATTCTTTAGCAGAAGCGGTTGCTCAAAATTACAAACAAGGTTGTAGCTAGAAATACTTTTGTTCTCTGTTATGTAATCAAACTTCGTGGCATTTTCGGGCCAATAAAATCTAACAGCTCTGACCTGCACCTTTATGAACGACTCATAATTTAGCTGCGGTCACTTTTAATAGCTTGATTTTGGTTGTGGCATTTAATAATGGCTTGCTAAGCTAATTCTTACACGTACTACTATTTTCCTTTTTTCCTGATTCAGCAAATGACTGCCTATCTATTTCTTGAGCTCATGTCTGTTATGCTGCAGGGACAGCAACCAAAGTATTTCCGTGACCTGAGACCACATTCAAATGTTTGGGGGATTTTGATGAATCCTGTATGTTGAACAACAGCATATAATTTGGGATTGTTTGTTGACTCAGTACCTCTTAGTGTATATCTTTATTGCTGTTTCTCAATGTCCAACTCTATTGTAAAGTGAAACTTTAATTTTCATTAAGATACAGTGCATTTGGGTCCTTGAGCTTATCAAATAAATATGAATGCCAGCCAAACTAGCAAAGGAGTATGTTCAGTTCTAATTAAGGTTGTGCAACTTATCATGGAGTAGTATTTTATTTTTCTGAAAAAGACTTATCATATTTATTATTCAAAGCAAAAGGATTGCAGATATTCGATTATGTCACATGTTGCCTTCAATTATATATCAATGTTAAAAATTTAATCAAATTATATCTGTCTTAACTGTGAGGACCCGTCCAACATCAAAAAGAAAGGAAAGGATTGGATTGATACATGACTCTAGACCCATGGGTTATTTAGCAATTTGGCTTAATTGTTTTAAACCCGCGATTTCAGTTTAAATGCTCGTGGATCCAATACAAATGGCATCAAAACAGATTTTGCATAGTTTTTGCGTGGGTTGCCATGGACTACTCAATAACTTGACTTAATCATTTTGAATTCAAAGTTTTAGTTCAAAAGTTCCTTGCCCAGTGAAGAGGTGATTTTTGGTGGGTCCTCGAACCGACCGGAATCAGTCTCCTCTAAGGTGAAGTGAGGTGAGCCTTCTAGTCCGAAGTGAATGGCGGGGCTTCTCCCCTGGGATCACTCCGACGATCAAGTTAGTATGAGAACGAGAGAAAAGCAATAGTGTTGTCAAATGAACAGTATGCTTACTTGTTAGGTGTACATGGGGGGTATTTATAGAGCGGGAGTGGATGGTATGACGGAGGTCTTATGCCGGTGGGACCCATGTCCTGCCATTACGGCTCTGATCCCTGTCAGGCGGCCTGACTCTGACACTGTAGCCGCTTGGACAGGGTGACGAGGAGTCTTACGCAGTAGCCATTAAGTGCGACAGTGCTTTTCAGGTAAAGCACTGGTCCTGGAAGATGTCAGGCGGGCTGACATCATCAGCATGCAGCCGAGGCGGATGTATGAGGTGTAGAGGTCATCTGGGCAGTAGACCAGGGACCTGGCCGAGCTCGGGGCTCACCTCCAAGAGAAGACCTCGCTCGGGTGGGGGATGAAGTGGGAACACGGATCACCTCGGCCAATCAGGGATGGCCGAGGTGAGCATCCTCACCCAGAATTTAGATTAATCATTTTGAATTTGTGATTTCAACTCAAAAGTTCCTTGGGTTAGCTCTTGAGCCTAGGGCGTTACAGTACCTCAAGCTTACTATTTTTTAGGCCTAGCATGATTTTTCTCACTAAATTCCTGATACGTAGTGTTGAATTTAGATATGCCTAACTTTTGTACATTGACAGTCAAGTTTTCATTGGGAAACACCATTAAAAAAAAATTCATTTCCAAACGTTTCTAAGGAAACAGAAGTGAGTGAAACGTTCTTTCTTTTTTTTTTTTTTTTTTTTTCCCTAAGGAAGTTCGGAGTGTGTACATATTAACAAAAGAATCAACAAGTCATTACAAATGATAGGCAACTTTCTAATTTTGGATCAAGAACCTCACAAGTTGATTTCTATTCAATTCAAATCGATTCTTTTTTAATTTTGTAACTTTTGTTGTAAATTCATACAATTACAGTTTGAATGTAAATCCAAATTTGTCAATCTATACAAAAGTTGATGATTATATCAAACTATACAACCTACGCCAAATATAATAAGAATTACATGAACCGAACAAAATTAAACTTATGAGATCTCTGATCACCGGGGCCAACTTTGGTAGTTTCCCTGATTTTGCCCCTCAACTTTCCCGGGAACCCCAAACGACGTATAAGTACAACCCATATCGCAAAACATATTAAAACTAAGTCATTTTAAAAAATATTAACAAAAGAAAAACCACGTCCAATTCTTGATTCCATACGTTCTCATTAACATAACATTCCCATTTTGGCAACAATATCATACAAAATCTTCAAACCCGTTTTATAATCTCCCCAGATCCGAATTTTGGTGTAATTTTCTTGAACATTTTAAAAAGATAATATCGTACTTTCTTTTTTGCATCGTGCATTTTCATTAAAGGGTTCTTCTGATAATGGCTGGCCGTTACGATTCCAATCCGTTTGCTGAAGAAGAAGTGAACCCTTTTGCGGTAAATTCCCATTCTTCTTCTCCTTCGTCTTTCAACAATTTTAGAGTATTATTTTTTAAATGTCTCAAATGTTCGAAAGTGTGTGTGTGCATTCAGTGTTTTTTTTTTTTTGTAATGCATGCTCTTGTTGTCTTGTCAAAACTTGTTATATGCTTTGATGAAGAATCGAAAAGTTTGATGGTTTTCTGATAATAAGATTGAAAGCTTTTCTTGTTTTGTCTGCTAGAATTATTCAATTGTAGGATTTTGGATATGGTTCTGATTTCTGAATCATTTGATTGTAATGATAATGGCATTCTTAAAAGCATCTTGTAGGTGGGTTTTTCTTCTTGTTTCTTTTTCCGTTGTTGATGGGATTGTTCAGATCTATTCCTCTTTTATTGATTTCTTGCATTTCTTTATATGTTTACTCTTGTGTTTTTTTCTTTTTACTGGGGTAGAAGGTTAACATCCGGAGAAGTTAGTTATAATGTTATCTATGGGAAATTGGAAACTAAAGATGATCGCAGTTCCATGAAAATGCGGTTTACCATTCTTACATTTGTAGGATTGAGCAACATAAGTGCATTCCAATATTCCATACCTTGAGGTTTAACAGAAAAGTGATTAGTGATGCTGTATTCAAGAAGCGTGTTGAGGGCTTTTTTGAGGGCATAGTTTATTAGCCAAAATCAAAGGGAAAATTCCAGTGTGAAATAGAAGACACATGACGGTAAAGTATGAGTATGAGTTAAAGTGTTCAATGAAGTAGAGTTAAATTCAACAGGAAGGATATGTAAGCAGGGTCTTGAGAATGAAAGATGAAGTGTTACTTGCTTTTTCTGCTCTTTCTGTTATTTGCTTGGAATTCAGATGTGTTACATTTTCTGTTTGAAGAGTTGCTAGACTTTAACAGAAGCAATTCAAGTTGAATCTGTTTAGCACATACACTAGAAAATCAGGTGTCACATTCAAAGTGCATATGTTCTGTGTGTAACATTCAGTGCTCCTTTACTCTTTTTTTCCTCCCTAATATGTTGGGAAGAAAGCTGAAATGACAATCTTTGTGGACCATTTTGATATTGGGACTGGAACGCAGAATGGTTTTTTGGCAACTATGTGGATGATGTAACCTGAACGTATATGTATAGTTGCATGTTCCTGTCTGTAGATATCATGCTCTGTGCTCATTTTGGCTTGTCGAGATGAACATATGACTATATAATTTTCTTCTCTTGTACAACCATTTTGCTTCTGTTTATACATATTCCTAGCTTTCAAATTTTAGGACAATGGAGCTCGAGGAAAGGGTCAATCAAACTATGGCGGTGGTGCATTTTACATGACAGTAAATTCATTCTTTCCTTGAACTCCCTATGCATTACTTTCTGGTCCAGTAATAAGTTAATAGAAGACTCCTGTGGTTTGAGGCTCAAATTAATATGTTTCTTAGGTGTCTGGCAAATATTTCATTTTCTATTCGTTTCCTTTCTTTTACTGCCTGATCAATGTGCTGAAATTATACCATGCATAGTTCAGAAAGGAGACCATTTTGTCCATGTCTTCTACAGTCCATTGTGTTATAACATACATGGACGTCTTTATGCAATTTGGTTTCTTGTTTCATTACATATTGGCTGGTTTGTGCTTCTTTTTTGCATCAAGGACTTGAGTTTAGGTGAAGTCTAAACAGAGCAGAGCAGGTTGCAGACTTAATTTGTTTTGATGGGAAAGAATAACATCTTATTTTATTTACCAGCTGGTTGTGTTAACATATGCTTCTAACTCCTTATTCATTTTTATTAATGAAATCCTATCTTATAAGCATCTTGTGATTGCCACACCTAGATGAGTTCTTATATGGGTGTGCGTGCATGCGTCTAGCTATCTCTTTTTCTTTTGGTTTTCATTGCATACTCAGGAGAAAATGCTTGTACACTTATTCCAAAACAGACAATTATGAGATAGTGTTCAAGAGTCGATACAATCTGTACTTCGTAATTCTAAAGTTTCATGAATTCAGTAAATTCCTCTTAGAATGTTGATTGGGCACCTTGTAGGCATGTTATTGAGGGGAATATACAGAGTAATTAAGCTAGTCCATATAATATTAAAGAATTATTTATTAGAGTTTGATGAGTCATGTCTTATGTTCTTTATTCATTTGTGACACTATTCTATCTTGGACAAAGGTGAGTTGTTTATGACTAAATATAAAGTAGATGGATTAGTTCAAGGCATCATTAAGAAAAGATATGTCAACCTGAATGAAATGTCAAATAATGATCAAACACAACAATATTATATACTGCTATAAACTGTACTACCTCATACCTGTGTGATTCCACATGACTACGTTCTAGCAGTTAATTATTAGGGAACTTATATGTTTTCACATGAGTTACCATCGCAACTTTTAATCCTCTTAATGGCATTTTTCCTTTTTATTTTGTTTCTTCTTAGTTTCTGGCATGTGTTTTAGCTTGTGTTCAGTATTGACTATTTATGCAATATATATGTACATCCTTTTGGTGTTTTACATAGTTTATGCAAATTGACAACTTGCTTATGATTCTGTGATTTTTTTTTTTCGTGTGCTGACGTCTCCAGAATCCTGGAAGTGTTGCTCCAGCAAACTCAAAGTTGTCTCCTCTTCCTCATGAACCTGCTGCAACTGTTGATATTCCACTTGATAGTTCTAAGGTGCACGGTCATGAAATGTTGCATCGTGTCTAATTCAGTTATGAATCTGTTATTTTGTTTATTTCTTTTGATGTATTTGTTCTCTTCAAATTTAGGATCTGAAAAAGTTGGAAAAGGAACTTCAAGCTAAAGAAGCTGAACTGAAGAAAAGGGAACAGGTACACTCAATTAAATTCATGCAGCAGCTGCCAATCATTTTGATTCAAAATGTAAATAAACGAGAAATCTATAATATGCCTCAGCCAAAAATCCTTCCAAAATTCCAATTAAGTTGGTACCTTCTACTAATAAAAGACAGCTTAATTGATTCAT